TATTTATTTGTACTGTGCAAATTTCCCTTACACCCATTTCTACCAATGCAGTTTATTAACTTTCATCCCGGTTTAACTAAGTTTTTATCTTTTTCCAATTCCTGAAACTAGAAAAGGGTAAAAGGTAAGCTAAACCGAGATCAGAGTTAATTTGCAGAATTAGACATAGAATTGTTAAATATTGCCATATTTCCATTGATTTTGTACTATATAGATATTAAAAATTTTATGGTAAATTTGCATAGTATATCAAATACGATAAAAGTGGCCAAAGCCAGCCAAGTTCACGATACACATTTTTCTTTAGGAAGGAAACTACCTGCGGACTTAGAAGAACCTCGCTTCTCTCGTTTTCTTGAAAACCAATACAACTTTTCTTTTTCAAATTAGAAATTTATTCTTTGTACGGTTATCCCCTACAGGCGTACTCCATTTCACGTACTCAAAATAATAATATAAAGAGTAATCATAAAATTCTATAATCTTCGTGGTAATAGAGATAATTATTAGTATAAGCTAATTACTCTCGCGGGCGGATCAGTCTCAATTAATGTTCCCATCGGTCGTACAACTTACCGCTTAAATATCAATTTCAAACAGACGGTATCCTTATTAGCATTAGCTCGGCAAGTACGACAAAGAAGTTTAGGTACGCCGCTAGGAAAGTTCAAGGATGCAAATAAGGGTAATATCGCAACGGAAGTACGGACAAGGGAAGACGAAGATCGTAGTTGCCTGTCCCGTTTACACTTATCGTTGGAATTATTTCGTCCGTACAAGGTTGTAAGGAACCGTGCACTTGTGGAAAGACATGCTCATTGCTATGGAATTTATTATAATTACTCGAGAAACAATTTTACATTAATTAGCACAATTAATATATTCTGGTATAATTAGATGCTCTGCTATCACTGCGTTCAATTATTTTTAAATAACAGGGATATAAAATTATTTTTCTAATAAAAGTTGTTTTTAAGAAAAGATCTATACACATAATAATTTATAATAAGTTATTTAATACACGTTAGGTTTTGTAGAATCTGACATTACCTTTTATTAAGGCAATAATGATATAATATACGTTAATTATATAAATAAAACTTAATTACAGGTTTTGAATATATGCTATGTTGAAAAGACATATTTGATTCAGTAATGTAACAAAATAATTTCTGCCGTTATAATTTCATTAAAGATTGAATTCTTTATGAACATCATGATAATGCAAGTTCCCTTTATCATTCAGGTCACTTCATCAAAACCGAGTCCATAATTACTTTACCCCCGCTCGAAATAAATCATTTCTCGCCTCTCCTCCCTTCGCGAAGTAACAGGAGTACCGCCATTCAAACCGTCCCTAATTTATATCAGGTAATTGAGGTAGATTACATTGCTTGGTTTTTATACCGTAATATAATACGGGAATAGAAATCATTTCTTAGACTCTTATATAGCGTAGTCGTGCGAATATATGTGCAAAAGTAATTCTATTAACAAATTATCATTAAGTTGTCGCGGGATATTAATTTAACGCAATACTTGAACAAAATGAATATTGAATTAACATTTTTTTCAAAACTTTAATACACCTGACTGAAAGCTAAATGGACAAAACCATAAGACTTGTATAGGACGGAAGCATCGAGAAAGCCGCGGTTATTCATCACCAAGATTTTTAAAACGAAATCGCCATCGTTGTGGCCGCTCATAGGTCCATCACGTCGGATGAATGAATAATTATCCCGAATCCCCGCGTACGAAGCGAATCGTTTCTCGACGCTACTCCCTTCGCCGAGGAAATGCCTATATACCGTACCGCCCCCCAATTTTATAAGCTAACCGACTCGGCGCTCCCGACCACCCCCCGTCGCCCGATGCTCGTATAATAATTCCGCGATTCCCTCCCGATGTTCATTTCATTATTTTTCTCCTTCTTCGTCGCGGCCGCCTTCGCCTCTCCTTCCTCTCCTTCGTCCGCCACTTCCACAATCGCTTCTCCGCAACCCACCGCCGCCGCCACCGTCGCTACCACCACCGCCGCCGCCGCCGCCGCCGCCGCCGCCGCCGCTGAGAGGGTGATAAGTCGTGACGTCGACGAGGTAGAGGTGATTCCGAAACGTAGGCGTGGTCGCAGCATCCCACCCCCGCCGACCACCGCTGCGGGGGCCAGCCGGCGGGGGTGGGAGGGCTCGGATTCCGTGGGGGAGTAGGATGGCGCGCGGTGCACGCTTCGCGTTGGCTGCCTCCAACCCTCCACCACCACGTGGCCGGAGCCGGCGGCGGGTGCGGTGGTGGACGTGTGCGCTCGCTATAGAGGGTGGAAAATCGTGTAAGAAAAACCCGCGGCACTCTGCGCCAACCTCATCGGCCCTATTTCTCCCATTCTCTCTTTCTCGCTCTTTCCGCCGCTTTCCCGCCCTTCATCGTCCTCGTTTTCGTTCGACCCCCGCCGGGTAATAGACGGCGGCTCTACTTAAGTGCGGGGCACGCCGTTGCACCCCGTCCTTCTCCCGGCCCTCCTCGCCTTCTCCCCCCCCCCCCTTCCTTCGCTCCCCCTCCTCACCCTCTCGCTCTCCTTCGTCCTTCTTCGTCCCGATCCTTTATCCCCGCGCGCGTTTAAAAGGGACGTATGTATGTATGGCCCCGTGTACGCCGCTTTTATGTGGAATTCTTGGGGTGAGCATCGAGAGAAGAGACTTATCACGCGCTGTCAGAGGAACGCGCGCCGTTCGCGTATGCGTGCGAGCCTGCGCGTGCACGCACACGTACGTCCGCATGGTCCGCGTGACACACCGGCGTCGCGCGCTCGTTAATTTAATTAACCCTACGGACACTTCCGGCACGAAACGTGGACGGCCAGCGTGCTCTGTCGTACTTTCCACGATAATGCGCACGAGGCCGCCCCTCTCCCCCGCGCGACGTCGTCGTCACTTTCGTTGACCCGGGCGACAGGGTTCGCGGGGAAGTCGGGGGGGGGGGGGGGAGGGGGTGGAGGGAGGACAGGGAGGGTGGCAAAATTATGCGCGCGGAATGACGGCGGCGTAGTGTCTCGTCGTGTGACACTGCTTCGTGTGACACTGTATGATCGTTCGAAATGCTGCAGACGCTAATGGACGCTGTTTAGTGATCTCGCGGTGGAGTACATTAAATCTCTTTTTCTTCGAACGTTTGTCAATCTGTCAATAACAACTAGTGTACTAATACATTGCTTGCGTATCTATATCATATACATAAATCGTAACGGTCGAAAAATTTCACGCTTATTTTTTCTTCTATTTTTTTGTGGATTCCTTAGGCTTTCCCTATAATAATATAAGTCCATAATTTGGGGAGAAAAATATTTTTTGATAATGAACATAAATGTATATTTTACTATGTACTTACTAGAATTAAAAGTCTTCAATTGATTAAAAGTCTTTAGCTTAAAAATGTCACCTTGTTACGCCAGGAAAGAATCTACAAAAATATAAGAGGAGACAGTTTTAGGACTTTTTCTTATACCTATATTGCCATATACCACACACACACACACACACACACACACACACGTCATATTGTGCAGTACTAGAGAAGAAAGTTTTGTGACTCCAGTGAGCCGAACATTTGGAAAAGAAATCTTTATCGCCACCGTTGAAACTGCGATTATCATCCCCATTTCTGCTGCATGCTGATAGTTATAATAAGCCCCGCGGCTTCACAATATCGATATCGTCATTATCGCGTGATTATTACGCGATCCAGAGAAGTCGTGGACGATCGCCAAGCCACCCCCGATTCCGCCGCCGGTTATTATTATTATCATCATTATTGTTATCATTATTACTATACCTGTGGGTTTGGAGGGGAGTTACGAGACTCACTCTCTCCCTCTCGCTCTCTCTCTGGTCTCGGCGATAATATAATTACCTACACCGACAAGAAAATTACATCGTACCCTCTCGCGCTGCCCCGCAAGTCTATGCAACACGGACGCGAGGTACGCGAGCGCGCGCTTGCCGGTGGTAGTGCGAGATAATAAAGTTGATAAGAGCGTAGAGGGTCGCTCCGCAATCCCTACCCACCGAAAGAGAGCAAACGGGGTAGCGCCGGAGGAAGGGGTGGGTGAAGGCGAGCGGCGGTACGCGAGAAACGGGCGGGTGCGAGCGAGAGAGCGGCTAGTGGTGCCGTCGGGAGTGCTGCGGGGTAGGTGGGCGTGGCCGGCATTTGCCGGCAAGGCTGGCGATTGGACGGTCCGCGGGGCGGCTTCGTCAAATAAAATCCAATCGTTGAGACCAAAGGAATGCGAATCTCCAGGCTTTTTTCCTACCCTTGGTACTACGAGGCGGCGAGCCGCTTACCCTCCTCTTTCTATCGCTTCCTCTCCCCCGTCCTCCTCCTCCCCCCGCCTCTGTGATCCTCGCCGCGGTAGTGCGCCTTCCGCCCGTCCCTCCCGTCCTCTCCTCCCGCCTCTCTCTTTTCCTTTGCTCCTCAAGGGGGTGCGCGCAGCGCCGTTTGATGGGAGTATGATTTTATTACGGCATTACCGAGCGAGCCAAACCCCGAATTGCTCGGCTTATAGTCCGTATTATCTCACCTAAGAGGGAAAGAAGGGGCGACGGAGAGGCGGACGGTGGAACGGGGTGGTCGGGGGCGGGGGAGGGGGGAGGGACACGGAGCACCCACCCCTCAGCGCGTACCCTTCTTCGGGGTAAGGCCACTGCCTGCACGTACGTGCGGGGTGGCGTTTCGAGAACGCCGGCGACGCCGGTCGGGGAGGGGATTGGGGGAGAGGGGGGGGGGGAACGAGTGAGCCACCTATATGCCTTTGTGGGCCTTCATTCGAGGGTTGCATGCTCTCACGTTGCCGCCGCCACCACTAACCCCCCTTCCGTGCGTTCAGAAGGCACGCACGCAGGCACGCCAGTTGACATCCCGCTGCCGAAATCGCACGTCCTTGTCGTCGGACGTGAAGTGAAGTTGCGTGCGCGATCATGTGACGCGCGCGATCCCGCACGGAGGGAGATCTTCCGCGACGAAGATCTCGCGGGAAATAGGGGGGTCCTGCTTGTCTTTCTCCCCCGAGCCGGGTACACGTCGAGGAACACGACGGGAATTTCGTATACATTCGAATATTCGGATACCCGAGTCGCGATGTCAATGCGCATGATGCGACGTCAATGCAGGTGATCGTCGGTGACATTAAGATAATTATCGCGATTATCCAACGTGTGAAAACTACTACCACCCTCGCGAGCGAAGGAATCGAGGAAGATATGCTAATGTGTGGTTAGTGATTTAAAATAGTTTGTGAAGATCGAATAATTCAATTGGAGGCTGCACGACGATCTTCGACGACCTTGATTCACTCGCAGAAATGTCATCTCCGATCGAATTCCACGCGCGAGTCTTGAACGAGATGAACGGGGCTTGTCAGTCAGTAAGTACCCAAAACAGTGATAAATTCGATATCGCTCGAGACTCATGAAGAGAAAAACGGTGCCATCTGCAATATAAAATAGTAGCGCTTGGCTGATCAGTATCGAGCTCGAAGATCGTTCAGTTCTTTCCTCGACTAAGGATCGTTCTAAGGCGACAATCGTAACAGTCAGCGAGCCAAGCAGCCGTGATATGTTCCCCTCCTCGTCAGCGGCGATGCTGAAGAATCTGCAGCAGAGTGCCATGACCTCGCCCTTCCTGATGGAGAACTTGCTCCAGAGCAAGGCATCGCCGGGGACGGACCTCACGAGCCTGACCTTGAACTGGGCGGCGAGCCTGGTAGCGCGACAGCGCGAGAGAGAATGCGAGGCGAGTCTCCGACTCGCTCGCGACCGATCCTCCCCTAACGATATCGTCCAGGATCATCTGGAGCAACGATCCGGCACGATCGGCGGACGTGATCGCATAATGATCGACTGCGGCGTCAGGGATCAGCAGAGATCCAGCGGCGGCGGCAGGCCCGGCGAGCGGCAGCACGACCGGATGCAGTTCCTTCAGCGTGAGAAGGAGATCCTGGACCGGAGCCAGAGCGTGTACGACATGGAGAACGAGAGGATGGACGGCCCGGTGATAGTGGACCGGCTGTGCGCTATGGAGAGGCTCTGCAACGAGAGGATCGACAATCGATCTAATTCCGGCGTCGAGTCCTGCAATTCGAACGTGGACGAGGACCCGATTCCGGGCGCGGAGCTGGACGGTGGTCTTCAGCCGACCGACAGGGACGAGATGGTGCTGGGTGAGCGCGTCTCCGCGATCGAGATAGACAGACGGTACGACCTTGGATGCAGAAATGTCATGCACACGTCCGATGAGATGACGATCGCATCGGGGGAGAGGGAGGCGGCGGTGACGGCGGCGGCGACGGCGGTCGAGCGTGCCGTCGACAGAATAGGCGAGAGGACCGCCGCCTGTTCCTGTGGCGACGAGCAGTGCTCCGGACCGGCGTGCAGGACCATCCAGGAGAAGGAGAAGCCGCAGCTCAAGTTCAGCGTTAGCGCCATACTCGGCGGTAATCATGACAGGAGGCCGCATCCCGGTAATTCATTGATAAACATTTATCTGACATACTCGATAGCTGTCGTGATATTAGTTTCTAAGGAATTGATAAGGAAGGAATTGATCGTTTTAAAGTAGCGTTCCAAGTTACCGAGATTCTTGTTCTTCTTGTCAAAAAGGAAGATGAAACGAGAGAGAAAAGGATAGAGAGGATTTTTTTTATGAGAGAAAAATATTGTCAACTATCGGCAAACGTTAGAATAATTAATAATTCATAAACAAATGGCGATAAATGATTACGATATTAGTTGATGCATTGATTATTAATCTTAAGCACAATGCTCGGAAATTACGGAACTTTTATGGTCTACAAAAGAAAGAACTAACAGGAGTAACTTTAGAAAATAAAGAAAAATGAGTTGCGCGGTAAGAAAGAATCTACGATAAATTATTGATAAACATTTGCCTGATCGATCGATTTGCCTAATCGAGTTATTCTGTTGAGGGATTAGTCAGGACAGATTTAGATTTTGAAAACAGATCTCGAGATCAACGAGATTCTTGCAACTTGGAAAGAAAGAAAAAGTGAAGAGTAGAATTTAGAAAAATTTTCAAAAATATTAAGACGTGTCGTAAGATGCATTGGGATAATTTTGATAATAACGACAAAAATAGTATTAATTGATGTATTGATCACAATTTAGTGCCAAAATTTTTATGATTTATAAAAGCAAAAAGAAGCACAAGAAACGGTAACTCTAGAAAATAAGTGAAAATTGATTATGAAGCAAGAAATGCCGTAATAATTCATTGATAATTATTCATCTGACATAATAAAATCAATATTTGTTCTGTTAATCATACAGTATTTTTAGCTTCGAACATTCGAGATTAGTGAGATTCTCATGGAAAAACGATAGAGAGAAGAAATGGAAAAATCTTTTTTAAAAAATTAATTTATAAATACAATATTTGTTCTGTTAGTCATACAGTATTTTTAGTTTCGAAGCTTCCGAGATTAGTGAGATTCTCATGGAAAAACGTGAGAGAGAAAAATAAGAGAGAAGAAATGGAAAAATATTTATAAAAAATTAATTTATAAACGCAATGAGAGAGGCAAATATCGAGATAATTTATTGATAAATAATAGCAGCAATAATAATTATGGCATTAATTGATGCGTCCATTAAACATCACAAACATAATATTCAGAATCACAATTCGGGATCTGTGGAACGAGGGAAAGATGAAAACGATGATAGATATTTATAAAGAAATATATTTTCAGGAAATAAGGAAAAATTAATTACAAAATAAAAGATTTCGCGACAATTCATATAATAATTATTGACGACTATTTCGATATTATGTGACGTAATAGTTGAATGTTCCGCTCGACGTATGTCGTGACTTTCAACATATTAACTAGAACACAATTTCGCGTGTTATTGGCTGTAAATAATGAAGAAGGGCAAATATCCGAAGGAATAGCCCGAGAAGGGACTGCATATTTAAACGTATCCATTTTCTTTCATCATTTTTCGAGCAACAAATACGATAGGGGTTAGATGGAACGCGTTAGTATGTACGTACGTGTTAAGGTCGAGAATCGCCGATTGCAATCGCAGATTCGTTCTTGTCGTCGGGAAGACATTGTCGGGAAGAGTTTCACGCGGTGATCGGAGAGTGTTGAAACAAAGCTCACCACAAATCAGTGTCGCGAGCAGACTTCTGTCGCCGGTCCCTAAATCTCATCCGCACACCCTCAAGACGAGTCGCGCAGCGTGCGTGCGGGGTGGAGCGCACAGGGCGTCAGCTGGCCCGCCACTTACCTTCACCCCAATATTAAGCCCTTACGATTGGTGCCTATAATATTAGACAAGCGGCAGGATTCAATGATGTATTGCCGCGTCGCTTATCGCGCCTTTCCTCCGTTCGGGCCGTGGTGCCAAATATTTGTCGCGTTGTAAATTTATGTGCGAAAGCTGACGGAAACGTAAGGTGCCCAATTACGTTGTATATTTGGCAGTAACACTTTTGACGAACCGGCATTGACAACAAACGCGAAAAATATTGATAACAACGTGATAAAAACTCGTTGCTTTCGAATTGCGATGTGTAACATGTTAAAAATTATCTATTTAAATACTATTACAATTTATTAAATTTAATCGGGGTAGTTGCGGCAGTAATATTAATCTAATGGCGCGCTACAATTATTCTCGCTCTCACCTTTATGGCTGTAATCCTCTAGTTAATCTTACATCTACAGTTCTCAATCGATTCCCGCAGCCGAATGTTCATGACCGATTCTTTCAGCCGAAAGAGCCGATTTTCCTCCGTCACTTCGATTATGAGAAAAAACTGTTACAGATTACGGGTCGTTTCGCGCGAAGGTTACAATGCCGTCCCGTCATTCGCAGGGCACCCCCGAACATTCGCGAGGGTCCGGCGGACCCTCCTCGCATACGCGTACACGCCAGTCTTCGGCCGGCGTGTCCTCATTGTCACTCTTTCCTCCTGCCAGCCTGCCCTCCCCCCGTCCCCCCTGCGCTCTCATGATTGACACGAGTCGATAAAGACCGTGTGCGCGCGCGATAAACGCGCGTAGACGTATTAGATGCATAAACTGTGCACAAGAGAGGAGAGGGGGGGGGGTAGAAGAGCCGTCGCGCGCGAGGGAAGCGAGGAGCCAGGCGGAAGAGGAGGGACGAGATCGCGCGTGGGGCTCCACGAAAGTGGTGAGAGTCGAATGTTGCATTTAACATCGGGCGAATTGCACGCATCTGCCGGCAGAAGGATACGCGGGGGTGGTAAAGGGGACATCGCGCGGACGGGAGAAGAGAGTGGGAAGGGGGGGGGTAGGGAGAGGGCCCGAGCAGGGGTGGCAATGGGGAAATTCGGTGCGTTCGAGATACGCCGCGGGAGGGAGGGAGGGCAGGACGGAGGGAGAGAGAGAGAGAGGGAGTGAGTTTCGTGCGTTTGTCGGATAGCGGATGCATTGACCGTGCCACGTGCATGTGTTACATCCCCCTTCGTTTCCCGCGCGTACCGACCGAGACCGCACCCCTCTTTCTCCCTCCCTCCCTCCCTCCCACCGATCTCTCACCGCGAATAGACCCTCCAGCATCCACCGGGAGCGCGATACCGCGCCGTCCTCCCACTGTCCTCCCCCTCTCTCCCGTCTCCTCCTCCTCCTCCTCCTCCAGCACCACCACCTCCTCCTCCTCCTCCTCCTCCTCGCGTATACATCCTCGCCTCTGCTCCTGCTCCCCACCGTACCCCGGTGGTAACCAACCCCCCCGCGGGCTTGTACGTCATGTCGAAATGTTGTGAAATAATTGCGCGAAAAAGTGATTGGCAACAAACTCGAAATTCATCGACGAGAGACGCGAGGGCCGCTCGCGGCGGGACGGGAATTTGGGTGAGGGGGCGGCGAGGGAGTAGGGCGGTTGAAACTGCGACGGATGATCCAGCGAGGGGGAGGCGGCGCGGGGGAGGGGGGGGGTTCGGTGTCTGACGGGCGAGCGACGTTGAATTTCGAATAGCATTTTCACCAATCGTCCCACGATTTACCGTTCTCCCTTCCCGCCCCCCTTCCCTCCTCGCGTCCACCCCCGCCCCCCTCCGCCTCCCGTTCCCACGCGAGCCGCCACTCGCGGCCCATGTTTTTTGTTGCGTATCGCAACGATTATTGATATTTTTCGATATCGACTGTGTGTCGAGCACGACGGACCTGGTTTTAATACGCATATCTCCCATGGAAAAACGTCACATTTTATTCGTTGGTTAAATAGGAGTGTTAAAAAAGGAGCGAAAGAAAGCTCGAAGGAGGAAAAATCAACCTGTAGGTGATTCCGATTCAGAATACTAAAAGTCAGACGCTGTGAATGTTTACCTATCGAGTTGTATTCAGCGGGAGTTAGCGACGAAATGCTGCTGTAAAATCAACGACGTCGACATTAGCGCAATTTGTGCTAAATACATCCTGGTTAAATAACATTCGGTACCGTTTGCCGCGGAAGGAGAGAAAGCTCGGAATTCATTATTTGCGTCATCGCGTAGCGCCATCGTGTAATGAGATTGCGGGGATCGAGAAGTGACGTGTAATAAATATAACGTAACCGTTCAATGTGGAGATGGAGGAATTTTTGGACCCGCGTCAATGTCATAAGCGTTATTGTAAGCGTGGAAATCAATTATTTCAGTTATATCAGTTATACGTAAGAGCCATGAAAATTAGGCTGAGAAAGGGAGCAAACATTTCTCTGTTATCGAATCACGTCGCGTCAAATCCTGCGCGATTCCCTTCGCGGTCGATGAATCGCTCGGGATCCCAAAACATTTCGGTTCCTCGTAAAAAATCGGTTCGCCAAGGCCTGTCCTAAGACAAACACGCTTCTCCGCGGAGGAACGGGGCACCGTCGTGTGTTGCGCACCGTAAAGAGCAGTCCCACCCCTATTTACGAGGCGGAGACCTGCAGCGCGGTATCTAGTTAATAATGCATCCCTGACCGTAATCCGAAAGAATAACCAGCGATATATGTTGTAACCTCGTAAGGCCCGTGAGGGGGTTGCTTAAGCCGAACGCACAAAAAAAAGGACGAGGGCGAGAGGGGGCCCCACAACTGTAACAACACGCGAGGGCCGTCCCGGTGAGTTTCTCGAGACCGCAGACAGGAGGTTTAATCTCACGTGACGCGCGCGAGAGGGAGAGAGAGAGAAAGGGCGGTAGTGGCGTAAGAGCGGCGGGGCGGGAAGGGGGGGGGACCGAAAGGGACTGACGGTCGTGTCGGGTAGGTGGGGCGGCTTAAAAAACTATTCCCATTCAGTGTTTCCGTTGGAGACTAAGCTCGGTTATTAGACCGTCGCGGCTAAGCAGCCGCGCTTCTCTCATTGGCCGGCTACGAAAACAACGATAAAAGGCGATGAGTATTTTATGGGGTACAGCGCGATGGCACAATGGGACGCCGTGTATGGGCCATTGTCAGGGCATTGTCTGGTTGCGAGCGCAAGGCAAGCTTTCTCTCTCTCTCTTTCTCTCTCTCTCT